TGCAGGGGGCACATTCTCTCACCCCGGTGGGAAGTAAGGGTGGGTTGCTGGAAGCCAATTCTAGCATGTCATAGTGAGCTGACGAGCTTGAGAGGCTGGCGAGTTAGGAGAGAATGGTTCTGGTCTGGGGGACGGTCGGAGGGGGTGCCCTATGCTCCCAAAGCCTCGGGAAAGGGGGCGTCCCGGTAGCTGTGCCTCTGACTGCAAGCTCCTCCCAGCAAGGCAAGAAGCTGGAGCGTGGGGAGAAGGCGCAGCAGCCATTGCACTGATGGACCACTAGCCATTGAGGTCCTCCTCCACGAGCTTCAGGCGGCCAAAAAGCCCACCGAGTTCAGAGGTTGATGGAACTTGGGGACTCAACAAGGGCTGAGTCACATACGTTGTCACCTGTTGGGAATGGCTGAGGACATTTCCCCAAACCTGAAAAGTGATGATTGCTTGCAGCCAGACAGCTCAGGGCATCTTAATCTACATGTTACTGCCCCCTACTGGCCAAACACCTGAACAGCCGTAGGTAAATTCCCCCAATCTAACAATGGATTTTGTATATGAAACCCTGACCCTTTGAAGTGTATATCTCCACCTCCCCTCAGGACAATTTGTGTTAATAAAAAGCATGGGGTCCTGAGATGAGGAGATCTTAGTTCCTTTTAGCTAAGCTTCTCTGATCCCCAAATGCCTTTCAAAATTATGTTTCATCTCTGGATTCTTTAAGTTACACACACAACCTTTCTCCAGATTGCTGAACCCTTCTAGATGCTGGAACAAGAACCCAGCATGGGTCGTTCCAAGGAGCGGTGCAGAACACAGATGTCACACACCCTCCTGCTGAGGGGTTCCCACCTGCCACCACTCTGGCCTCGGATTCGGTCTCCATTTGCAGCCCTTAAGGAAGGATGACAGAACTTCCCAGAACTCACCTGGAAATGCAAGGAACCGATTGAAATCTCCTCCCATTTCTCTTCTTCAAAAGCACTTGCTCCACTGGTAATAATATTGGCACGAAAACGTGAGATGAGCTCTCTCATTGGGAATAATTCCTCCCTTCCGTTCTCATCACTGTTGAAGACAAGCCAAAAGGGGGTGTGGATAATTACGCCGTTGTAACAATTCAGTGTTTCCACCACTAAAACCTGACTCATCGAATGTGCTCTGGCCTGAGGCCTGCATGACCAGGACACACTTATACCGTGAGGCCAAGCGGCACCAACATGTTAGATCTCAGTGGTCTCCCTCGGGATATGGCCCCACGTCGGGCAGAGGCCCACAAGATGTGGAGCGAAGGGTGAGTAGATCTTTGTGTGAGACGTGGAGGATGTTGGAAACCAGGTGAACAGAGGTTGAGTAAATGAACTGAGAAGACACCAGTTCTGCAAGGTGAGTCAGGATACGGCATTGAGAGAGTGTCCAGCTTACTTACCAAGACATCACACTCTTGGGGAATATTAAAACATCGTAAAGCAACGTGGTTGATATTTATTTCCTAACTTCCATTCTGTTTGCAATTTAACTAGCATATGCTATTTTTCTAATTCTTGTGTAAAGGTTTAGTTTACTGCCAGGAGGTCCTGTAAAATGGCTCTCTGAACCTCCCGGCACACACACACACACACACACACACACACACACACCAGGGAGAAAGCACTATCTATGCTGGAAGTCTGGACACTGTTGACCTGCAGTGGGGTTGGCTAAGGGGTAGAGGGAGCTTTCTGAGGTACTAGAAATGTTCTCTATTTGACCTGGGGTGGTTATATGGAAGGTCCATCAGTGAAGTTCACTGAGCTGTGGACTTAGGATTTTGCACTTTGTTGTACTCAACAAAAGTATTTTTTAAATTAAGTTGGGAGAAATCCTTTCGTCTGACGGGAGTTTTCCCTGGAGACAGGACTGAAAGGCTCTGGGGGACGAGGGGTCCACAGCTGCGTCCCCGTCCCCTTCCAACAGTGAGTGGAGGGCGGAATGTCGGGAGCAGGATGGCTAAGTCTAGCTTTGCCTCTAACCTAACAACTCCCATGACCCGTGAGGACCACAGTTTTCTCATCCAAAATGAGAGGGTTAGCACTTGCCAATCCTAAACTCTTTGATTATGGATTTGCCCTCCTGGTTATAAACCTTCCTTCTGTGCTTTATAAAAGGGAGAGTGTTATGTCCAAAAACTGTTCTGTCGACATGTACATGGCAGCAGCCAGCAAATCTGAAAATAGAGCAGAGATACACCAACCAGGGCCCCAGGGACCATCAAAGGTATTAGCCCTGGGACTATTTCTCTTACCTTTGCTCACCTGTCCCACCCATCCCCGTGCATGAAACCAACTGGTTGGAAACGTGGTTCCCTCCTGGTAGGAACCAAGGTTGCAGCAAGCTTGTCTCACCTCCTATCTTTCTAGAGCAGCCGTGGGCAAACTACGGCCCATGGGCGGATCCAGCCCGTTTGAAATGAATAAAACTATTGAAAAAAAAAGACCGTACCCTTTTATGTAATGATGTTTACTTTGAATTTATATTAGTTCACACAAACACTCCATCCATGCTTTTGTTCCGGCCCTCCGGTCCAGTTTAAGAACCCATTGTGGCCCTCGAGTCAAAAAGTTTGCCCACCCCTGTTCTATACCAAGAGCCCCAGGAAACCGCAGACCTGCTTCCTCCAGCGCTCTGGGTACCCGGAGAGGAGGGTCACTCAGTGCAGCTAAAACTCAGTAAACACCAAGTACCAGCCGTGTCACACTTCTACTCCCATGAGGGTGAGGCAGGCCATGGCAAGGGAACAGCGTTGTATGATTTTGCCAATGACTATACTTCAAACAGCCTAGCTTTGTCACATTTATTACCCTGTACTTGTATATTTCTGCACACAGTATGCACACAGATGCACAGGCGCATGTGGCACGTGAGAGGCACAGGAGCCCCGGCTTAGGTACTGACAGGCGTGTGCACACCTCTCTCTGTCCTGGGGACTAGGAATGAGCAGTCCAGCTCTCTCATAACAGTGATTTCCCCCCTAATGGTCTGATGACCTTGGACAGCAATTTCTTCTAAACAATGAGGGGGGTTGGACCAACCAAGACCCCTTGTAGAGCTGCTGACCTCTCACTACTGCCAGGGCCCTTGGGAGAGAGAGAGCACTGGGCGGGAGTGGACAGGCAGGGGTGCCGGATCTGTCTGGTGGTACCAAAAGTCACATCTACCATCACAACTGTAAACGCTCTCTAACCACTCTTCTTTTCCCTCACGAGGACCGCGGAAGTAGAGCAAGGCTCTTCAGGGACAGAAGACAGTGGGAGGGTGGGCAATGAAATTAGAACAAGTTGGTAGAAATTCCATTATAGCAAATGTTAAGAAATGGAATGACTAAAAAATGAGAATTGGGGTTCTCTACTAAGCATCCTGAGGGCATCAAGAAGGACATCGGAAGACAAAAGCGAACCCTCAGAAAGATTAATGGGAACTTCCCTAAAGGGCCTTGTGATTTCTCTGGTCTCATGAAGAGTCTGGACTCCAGGACTCCAGGCACTCTCTCCCCAGGTAGGTGCCAGGCTACGTGCAGGGTAAGTGGTTACACCTCTCTGTTATTCCCGAGGTAAATAGCAAATAGTAAAAGGGTCTTTCTTACCTGGCGCTTAATTGCTGCTGAAGTTCCAAAACACTGGATCTGTTTATCAGCAGATACTGGGCCTCATTCACCAGAGAAAGAGTGGCTGGGGTTCCAGCAGACTGCCCTGGAGGGGATGGAGTGGGCATTTAAAAGAAGAGACCTGGAAACAACCCAAGAGTTCACAGGTAGACAGATGGGTAAAGAAGATGTGGTACATGTATATACAGTGGAATATGATTCAGCCATAAAAAGAAGGAAATCTTGCCATTTGTGATGCTTGGTTGGACCTAGAGGGCATCATGTTAAGTGAAATAAGTCAGACTGAGAAAGACAAATGCCATATGATCTCACTTATATGTGGAATCTAAAGAACAAAAGCTAAAACCATCTCCCAGATACAAGAAAACAAATAGGTGGTTGCCCGAGGCAAAGGGTGGAGGTAAGCAAAATGTGTGAGCGGGTGAGGGGGGTCAAAAGAGACAAACGTTCAGTTATAAAATAAATGCTGGGATGTAATGTATAGCATGGTGACTAGAGTTAATAATACTGTATTGCATATTTGAAGTTGCTAGAAGAGTAAATCTTTAAAATTCTCATTACAAGAAAAAACATTTTGTAACTGGTTGTGGTGATGGATGTTAACTAGGCTTATTGTGGTGATAACTTCACAATATATGGAGATATTGAATCCATTATGTTGTACACCTGAAACTAATATGTTATATGTCAATTATACCTCAATAAAAATGTTTTAATGAAATTAAATTTTAAATGTTTTAAAATAAAATAAGAGCTGCTTTCTTAGACTGCAAATGAATCATGCTCCATTGACCATCATGTTTTAAAAATAGAGACTATCTCTACAAGTGAAAAAGTG